GAATTGGGGATAATGATAGTATGACCTCATAGGATTGTTCGGAGGATTAAATGAGTTAGTATATTTAAAACAGAATAGTTCCTGGCACTTAGTGAGGACTCAATAACTAAGTGGCTACTGTTGTCAATATTATCTTATTTCATATTATTGTTGACTGTCCTCTCATTTATGCATTCTATCAGTTGTAATCAGTTACCTCCAGTATTATGTCCTCCCATGTATTCCTTCTTCCACCAGCCTAGTTCATACATCACTGCTTGGATCACTATAACAATATGGCAACTTGTCTCCCCACTCCCTGAGTCCTTCACTCTAATCCACTGACAGGTTAATCTTCCTAAGGGATAGATCTGATCATGTAACTCCCCTGCTCCAAAAACTTCTTTGCTCTCTCGCTATCCCTTACATCTCCAACCCAGACTTCTCCTCTACTCCTCATTTCCAGTGAAACTAGGTTATTTATTGTTCCCTAAACTTATCCTCAACAGTCACTTACACCCCCATCCAGTAGGTCTGTCCACACTACTCATTCGAACTGTAATTCTTTACCCTTGTTTTTTAAAACAATATAATTAAGACCATATAAGTCTTTGCCTGAACAATTTCTACTGCCTTGTCACCACGTTTAGACTAATACTCAAACCACACCCATGGTCTACATGCCCTCTCTTCACTTAGTCGGCCCCTGCTTCCCTCTCTGCCTCATCGCTGATTTTTCTCTTCTGTGCTCACTGAGCTTCTTTCTTACTTTGCTTTTACTTTCCCTTCATTCCTTGAACAGCCAAGCTTGTCACAGCCTCAGAAGTCCGTAATTGCTGTTCCTCTGCAAAGGCATTTGACTGTGTGGATTATAACAAATTATGGATAACATTGTGAAGAATGGGAATTCCAGAACACTTAATTGTGGTCATGAGGAACCTGTACATAGACCAAGAGGCAGTCATTCCACCAGAACAAGGGGATACTGCGTAGTTTAAAGTCTGGAAAGGTGTGTATCCTTTCACCATACTTATTCAACTTGTATGCTGAGCAAATAATCTGAGAAGCAGGACTATATGAAGAAGAATGCGGCATCAGGATTAGAGGAAGACTCATTAACAA